CAGCACAGATGCCAGGCTCCAGGTGAGTCTATGAGAAGGTGCTCACAAGCAATGCACAATTGATGGATCTTTCCGGTCCGTTCAGGTGCCTTATACCCCGAAGCGTTCCACAACACTTTTATCTGCTATACATGACTTTTGAACGCTTCAAGAATACTCTTCAGAGAATTAGTATCAAAATGCTCACAAAAAGCTTCCGTTCTTTTCAGAAAAAAATCGATTCAAATTAAAGGTTTTTCTTGGCTTCAAACTGACACCTTGAATTCTAAATTTATGATTACTCAGAAGGCAAAATCAGTTCATGCGTATCTGCCTGAAGGCACATGGTACTCTTTATACGATCACGATTATGGGCAGTTAATGCGAGAAGGCTATCAGAAATTCCCAGCTCCATGGACGTCACTCATCCCAGTTTTCGTCAGAGGTCTCTCTTAAGCTTATTGTGGCATGTTTTTCTTCATTTCTAGGCAGTAATCGAACTTCTTGAGCACACTCATTCTGTAGGAGCAGATAACGTCGGAGGTGAAAGAAGTGGAAATATACCAAGTACAAAGGCAGGCGGTCTCTTTGAGGATGCAAAATGACGCGCGTTGCGAGCGAAGAATATGCCCCGGCGGCCTACTAGGGCCCGCTCGCGTCGTTGCACCCCTTCCGATAGGTAACCAACCCATCGCCGCTGAGTCGATCGGTTTAGCAGAAAGCGATAGCTTAAGAGGGCAGCACCGATGAGAGCTACATCAATGCGGAAATCAACTGGCAAGGAAGTGGTCCCATTTCTTGGGTCCTGGGCCGCTTCTCGTGGTTTGTCCTTCATCCCAATTCCACCTCAATTCCATTGGGCTGTCTTCCAATCGTAAATCTCGCCCTCAAAGTTAAGCAAATCTTCCAACAACAAGATCTATAGGGAACTCTCCCACACGTATTCACAATCCTCAAAAACCTAAGCATTGTGATAGCATTGTGGCAAAGGCGGTAGACAAAACGGCGGTCAATCAAGCTTCTCAATTTTCCCGAGGGTTGGGGGAATTAAGACTGATTTAGATCAATACTTGGGATGGTAAGAAAGTCCTGAGCCGATTTTTCGAAAGCTCCAGAACTTTCGCTTATTGATCGATACCTAGAATCTGCTACGTGATAGATTATCGCTGTCGATCATACTTCTCCGCAGTAGGTATATATTGCCGGGTTGCCTTCTTTAACTTTAATCATGATGTCGATTCCACAAGAGCACTTTCGAGCGATCATCTTCAATGAATGGCGCTGCGGCACAGGAGCAGTGGAAACCGTCAACATCATCAGCAGCGCATTGGGAAGGGACACCACTTCCATCATCAGTGCCAAGCTCTGGTTCGCGTAGGCTTCAAGGAAGGAGACACAAGGTTGGGAAGCCCACAAAAGGTGGAAGACTCCACCGTTCTCGGCGCTGTCGAAGAGGATCCGGAGGTTAGCACCCGCAGCCTTGTGATAAGACTCGGGTGCACCCATCCCACAGTCCTCGGTCCCCTCCACGCCCTCGCCACAGGAAAGTGCCGACTCGATGGATTCCTCATGTCTTGACCGATAGCACGCGGTTCAGGCGGGTACCCATTTGTCAGTTTCTCCTTCTTTGTCCGCACCGAAAGGAGTTTTTGGAAGGCATGATTACGAGAGATGAGAGTTGGGTCCTCTACGATTCTAACAAGCACAGTGCCGTGTGGCTCCCTCGAGGAGAAGACCCGCCGACACAAGCAAAATCGGACCTTCACCCCAAAAGCTGTCTTCCTTTGCTACCTCTGGGATTCGTGAGGAATGTTGTATTATGAGCTGCTCCCGCAAGGACATACCGCTACCGGCAGCATTTACGCCAGTCAGCTCCAGAAACTAGCGGACGCTGTTCAAGAAAAACGACCGAGACGAACTTCTGTCCACCTACTCCACGATGACGCCAGGCCCCACATAGCTAAAGAGACCCGTGCAAATTGGAAGAGCTGATCTGGGACGCGGTTCCCCACCCATCCTATTCCCCTGACATTGCCCTCTCTGATTATCACTTATTTCATCCCCTCAAGGCATTCCTAGCGAAGAAAAAATTCACCAAAGTTGAAGACGTTGAAAGAGCGGTCAGCGATTTCTTTGACTCTCAGTCTGCTCAGTTCTGGGAGAAGGGGTCGCTGACCTGCCCATTAGGTGGGACTCTGTAGTGAGTAACAATGGTGATTATATTGTTGAGTAGATTCCATTGTACGCGGAATAAAAAAGCAAAGCAAAAAAAGTGTCAAACGGCTCAGGACTTTTTTACCATCCTAATACAATAGTTCAGAATGAGTGACGGGTTAGTTGGCACCAGAATTTTGGAGGGTAGGAAAGCTGACATCAACATTGGTCATAAACCGCAAGACACCGCCTGTTCAAGTACTAATGGTAAAATAATGCGTTAGACCTTCCAGAACTTAGACATCACTGTGGAGTAACCATACTTACTATGATACTATCGAAACCCACTATAATGTTACTGTTCAGGTGGCTCCATTCTTCCGCGTCAAGCACCCGAGAAAACAACCGACGCATCTCGGCAGAATCCGTTCGAGTTACTAATTGCTCCTAGTCAGAACCGTAAGTCCAGTGCACCCATACATATCATTTCTGGAAACAGCACCTACATCCTGTGGAACGATCAACAAGGGGGGTTGGGCCAAGAAGGCGTTTCGTCCCAACAATAAGAGCGGAATTAATCAGACTTTGCTAGAATCAAACCCTATGCTCCCAGCTGAAAGTTGCAGAGCACGTTCCGCTTGATGGAAATACCTTATGATAGCCTTCTACGCAGACGACATCAGAAGAAACTGCCAGAGAAACTCGAGTAACTGAATCTGCCCACTAAACACAGGAAAGATGTATGTATGCAGCCCTAACTATGTACAAGCGGCTATAAAGGAGAATCAAATACGAAAGCGAACGTTAGTGAGCAAATGATGTCATGAAGATGGGATGATACAAATTCCTGAAAAATACGGAAAATTGAATCTACTAATCCAAACTACAGAAACGTGGTACACGGGTGAAGCTCAACAAGTCTCTCGACGGATCGTTCCATTACGATGTATCCCAAAACGCTGGTTGGAATTGGCTTGCATGGGCAGGGCTGATGCCTTCAGAAACTATCCACCAATGAATCGGCTCAAGAAATTATGTAGCAGCTTCAGAGCCAGATCAATTACGGTTGGTCTTCTTGAGAATGGCGGCGATGGCAGATGACGTCGTATTCTGAAGAGCAGTGTAGGAGAGCTTTCTTCGATTTGCAAGGGAGCATTTTAGGAAAACTTTGCTATAAGACTCCTATCAACGGTGGCATCTAGTGCGACGAAGAAATCGCTGAAGTGCTACATGAGCGAAATATCCTTTTTTGGCTCCTCCCCCTGTGCATATTTCTTTACTTAAAGCAACAGTTCAGGGAGGGTCCGAAAATTTCAATGCCACTGCTGAGGGATACACGAGCCACGAGAGGGATAGTGAAGAAC